CATTTATGAAAACTTATTTGGTTCATAAATAAATGTGATTTTTCTCTTAAGTGTTGAGTAATTGATAGATCTTCAGGTAAGTCCCATTGCCCAGCTGTCCTAAAAGTGTTAATTTCAGTGCATGGATCATGGGGATTTCTGTGAAGTGAGAAGTTCTGGGGGCACATTCATGAACAACCTTAACCAGAGTATCTTGGTTATCCTGGCTGTCTCTGAGTAACAGATGAGACTGACTCTTGTCACTTGCAGGACGTGGTTTATAGGTTAGAGGCAAAAAACTTGAAGCAACATCTGAAGAAGTTGCTGTCAGTCATTAAGAGCTGTTAACAAACCTGATGTTGAAAATTCACTGTGATTTTTCAGAACTGCCTAATTTCTTTATGAATAATCTGTTCACCTGTGACAATTGCCTATTGTATCCTCAGGTAATTATTTTAAATTAAATTAGACCTAGAGTCTCATACAACTGTCTATTTTGCAATAGTTCACCTCAGCTTTAATGGGTGTTGGTGCTTTACAGATGCAGTGGGCAGTGAAAATACAGTTTTTCATTCACAGCTTCCTTGTGACCCTTTGAAACTCCCTGCCAAAATAACAATGTGCTTACATTCATTTTATAGAATCTCTGCTCATGAACACGTGGTGTTTTTTCCCTCTTTAGCATCTCTAAGGAAGAGTTCACCAAACAAAGTGTTCAGAACAGATCAACCAGCATGGCAGAAGTCTGCTGAGCACTTTAATTGCTGTCCATTAAAAGTGCAAAGCTGCTCTGCTATGATCAGACACCCTGAGATTCACCTACAAAGGATCCTCATTCCATTAATTCACTGGATGCCTCACTGGATGCAATGAAAAATTAAGTGAGCTTTGACCAAACCTTGGGAACAAAACTCAGCAGTTAGCAATGGCAACCCAATTAAAATACTTTCCATGTACTTGTTTTTAAATATTCATGCTATTGAACCATTCCCACTTAATGCATAAATGACAACATAATATCCAACTGTAACAGTTGCTGGAAGCCATTTTAAGTAGCAGTTTAACAAACAGAGATGGATTTTAATTTGCAATGCCAGTTGAGCTGTAATAAAAACTAGTATTCCAGCTGTGAAAAAAAAAATAAAACACAGCTTGGTTTAGAGTTATTTACAGATGTTTAAGGATTTTTTTTTTCTTAAGCCATACAATGGAACCATTTGGTCATTATTCTTTTCAAGAAGCATTTGTATCAGATGCCCTTCCTAGCCTTAATTTCTGGAATCAAACTCTTAAGAAAATTCACATTAAACTATTATGGCAATTCTTAAGTGCTCATTGATTACAGGATTCAATTTCCTGTTGGAAATGTGACTGTTCAGTGTTAATATAGCTGTTTACTTGTTTTTATGGACTCTGATGAGTTTCTGTTGACTTTGAGATAAATGTTACACTGCTGTCTTTGAATGATTTCCATGGGTTGGCATTGTTGCTGTCTCCTGGAGTGTTATTAGGATTCTTGCAACTTTGATTTCTGTTTGTTTATCCTTCTCAAAATAACAACTGCTGGAATCATGGTATTTTGTGAAAGTTTTAGCTCTTTGTCTTTAAAAGGGAAATTCTCAGTAATATGACAAGAAAGTCTGCAAGTAAGGGCCAAGCACGTCCTTAAAATCTCTTCAGAAACTCAAAAAAAAATCCAAGTTTTTTGAGCATTAGGTTAGGGCAAGGAGAAGACAGGTCTCATACTCTAAAGCAAGCCTGGAGGAACAGCTCTTGGTGCAGCAAGAGGTTGTCACTGAGTAGCACAGTGACCTTTCTGCCCTGTTTTGTGGTTTTATTTAACACACACAACATTATAGTCCCTGGAGATTCATCTGTAGCTAAACCCAAGCTCTCATGACCAAAATGTTCATTGCCCTGGGAAGGGGTAGATAAAATACTTCTATTATTCTGATTAAGGAATTTAGCCAACTTTTTTCCTTTTCAATTTGGATTTTTTGTTTGCTTGTTTCTATCAGCATAGTCTTAATACAGTCTAAACAATGGTAAAATGGACCATATTTTAAACCAAGCTTAAAACTCAGGGGCCTGAAAGTCTAAAAGCACCAAGCAGAGCAGCAAAACTCCCAGAGGACAATCTGTAGAGCTCAGAAACCTGAAGTGATTTAGTAAAGAAGTAAAGTTCAGAAAATAAATAGGAGCAGCTGCAAAGACACAAAAAAGTTGGGATTAGATGTTTGAAATACACAGGCAAACAAGGGCAAGGGAAAACGGCTGTGGTGCTGGGAATCAGGCTTTTTTAGGGGAGAAGAGAACAGGGATCAAGAAAAGAGCTGGAGTGCCTCAGGCAGTGTGGGCAGCAGGTCAGGAGGGATCCTGCCCCTCTGCTCGGCCCTGGAGGCACCTCTGGAGAGCTGTGTCCAGCTCTGGAGCCTCAGGTTTAATTACCTTTTCCAAAAACTGGGTAATGAAACATTTTTTCATCAGTGCATGTCAGGTGTCAGAGTGCTCAGCTGCACCAAGAGGTGTGGGAGCTGCCAGGCCCCAAGCCCAGGGGACTTCATCTGCCACACAGGAGGCTCAGCTGCTCCTCTCCTTAGCCCTGAACTGGTGAGAGAGGTGCTGGCTGCCCCTGGGTCTGGGGACTGACTGAATAAACCCTGACTGAGGTGCACCTAAAGAAGCTGTCAGTAGAAAGGGGAAGGAATAATGGCTCCTGTCTGCAGCCAGGGTGAGAACTGCTCTGCCTCAGTTTCCTTTCCTTCTGAAACAATAAACATCAGTGATGTGTGATTCTTCTGGGAAGAGACTGAGAACAACAGCAGGAAAAACAAATGAGAGTATAACATGAAATCTTGACTTATATGCCAAGACATAGGTAGGAAAGATGAAGAAAACATGAGGCAATAATTCCCTTCCATCCTTTTGCAGGATTGCAACACTAAATAGCCATCTTCTGGCAGGCACTTGCTCATATACATTCCCTGAAAATAGTGACATCCATCCTGGTTTAAACCTCTTGAGATTCCAGGAGAGACTTTTCGGAACTGGAGCTGCTCACTTAGCTGCCTTCAGGGCTGAATTCCTGTCATTCTTAGTTAAAAGCTGGTGGCAGGGCATTTTTGCAGAGGGCACCAGGATTACTGCTATGCAGATCACTTAATTATTCTGAGTGTTATGAGTGCAAGTCTCTGAAGATGACAGAGTAATGCAGGGAGAGCTGAAATGAGAGGTAATGGAAGGTAATGAAAAAGTCAGAGGTAGACAAGATGATCCCATGATGTGAGGTCGAGCAAAACAAAACACTTAATAAAGGAGTGTGGAGCTGGAATTAGTCAGGATTGCTGAATGTTCCAGCAGTGTCACCAAAGCAATATCCTCCCCTCCAGTGGGGAATGTGCAGGGTCAGTGCAGGGCAGAGTGAACACCCCACACTCCCTGCAGGCTGCTTAAAAGCCAGCAGTGCACCTCCTGGAAAGGAATTCTCCTGTCTTCAGCTGATCTGAGGAACAGGAAAGATGGGGCTTGTTGAGGAAAGGGACAAAGCAAACACGGTAGGAAAATTAATCCACAAACATCAGAGGTTTATGTCCAAAAAGGAGACAGAGGAGTCCTTTAATTTTATTCGAAGAAAGGGAGAGGCCATGGGGCATTCCCCTGGGATCTCTCAGATTTTTGGAGGATGCAGCCTCCCTTTTTATCCCAATTTCCCAGTCGCATTTCCCTTCTCTCTTTCCCCACTGGCTGAGGTACTTGAGAAGTACAGACTTCCCAATACACCTGATACAAAAGATTTCCCTCTAAGGTATAACCCTCCCTTTTCATTTTTAATTCTTATGGAATTGAGGGGCTTTTCTTTCCTATTGTTTCTTTCATCTTTCAATGACTAATTTCATTTATCAGCAAATCCAAAGTTTATTTGTAAAAGCAAATATCTTTTTCCATTCATCAATCAGTGGAATCCTTCCCATTGTTTCTTTTATCTCCCCGTGCTAGTTTTATCTACCAGCAGAGCCACAGCTTCTTTCTAAAGACAAATCTGCTATTCCTCTCACACAGAATTACTGCCAACACCCCAAAAGGGATGTCTGGGTAAAGGACGCAACCAGAGACATGGACATTTCTGTGAAACATTTTGTGCGAAATAAAAATGTTGCTAACATTTAGGGGGAAAAAATCACAGCAAATAAGTACTTTTAAGTCCTTACTTTGCATTCAGACCCAGGACCAAACTGGATCCAAATCCATAGCCAGGATTTCACTTCATGACCAGAACTAGAATATTCAGTTTATAGGGAAGAGACTATAGGAAATTCTGCCACATTGCCTTCCTTCCAAACTTCCCTGCCAGGGAACTTGTTGGTGTTGATTATTGCATTTATTTATTTGAATTGAGCAGAAATGGCAGCCTCTTTCCGGCTTGGACCATGACCCTCCTGTGCTAAGTGTTTTACAAACAAAAATTAATAAGACACTCCCCATCCTAACTCACTTTTAATCTTAAAACAGATAACAGATGGATACAGCCAGATGGCAGAGGAAAAAAAAATGTGCCTAGGTCTGATCAAGAATGTTTTCTCATCAAAACCATGGTGATTGATAAGCTCGCCTTTAAACAATTTGGATTTTATAGTCTTGACAAAAGTTTTGTAGAAAAGTAAAGGAGAGAATTTCCAGTTAAGATAAGGGGGTACAGCAGGGATTAATGATGATGTTAATTAAGTGGGCTGTAGCGGATCAAAGTTCAAGAGTTTTCTCTGAATTAGGTATGAATAAAATCAAGCTTTCATATTTCTGTGTGACTGCTACCCCTTCACTGAATCTGGAATAATCTGCTGATTTTAAATACACACACATGTATGTACAGAGGCACACATACTCACGCACCCAAACACTCCTGAAAGAGTCTCAGATTGGTTTCACTACAGAGCCAGACTCAAGTTTTCAAAGGAAACCACTCCCATTTTCTATGTACATGGAGAAGAAAGATGAAGAGGGGAAAAAACAGAAATTAATTTTACCTGAAAGGCAATTATCTGTGTCAGTATCTGGCTTGGCTTCAGCACTGGTCTCAGAACTGCTGCAAATTGTTGTGGCTCAGCCAGCTGTGATGGAGAAATCCCAGTTTAAGCTCTCAGGTGTGTGTCCTGGGACCACACTCACGTTTCTTTTAAACCCAATAAGGTGGAGCTGTGGTGATTCCTCCCACAGGAAAGGTTCAGTGAGGGATTTCCTGAGGGATTGCTGCTCTCACAGGGCACAACTCTTCCTTCTGAGTTCTCCTTCTTCACTTTCTCACCTGACCAGAGCTCAGCATTTCCTCTTTGGGGAGGTGAGTGCTCAGTGTCCTGCACTGGCAGCACTGCAGTGAGAATCCACCACGGAGAGGATGGCTGAGGAATGGGAAAAAATCCTGTGTGCCATAGAATAATTCACCTTTCTATCAACAATTGTATAAGAAAACTGTTTCTGTGACCTTCAGAGGGTGAAATCTTTGATGAATAGACACCCAGTAAAAATGTTTAGCTTGATATGAAATAACCTCTCAAATCATAACAATAACAACAAAAGAACTTTATTTTCAGAATGTTTGCCATGCACTGCAAAAAAATGGAAAAACAAACAGGGATCTGTCTGTCTCATCCCCTACAATTATCCCAAAGCAAAGTTATTTTAAGGAAAATTTAAAGAAAGAAATTTCATTTGCATATAAATGTACATCTTATTCAGCACTAAACTGGCAATATCAAAGCTAACTGAGGGTAGGTATTAATTAAAAGTCTGATTCACATAGCTGAACAATGGAATTGTATAAATATATGTTGAGATGAAAAATATAATATAAAAATTCAGCACCCCTTTCATTGTTGTGTGGGCACAATAAATTAATGCATCATGGTCCCTTCTGTTTTGACATATTGCAACATCTTGTTTAAGATTAATTTTAATACATTGAAACACCCATAAAATAGTTCAATTCCTATTCATTTTGATATTTTTTGTGGATAAATTAAATATTTTGTGGCTTAGATTAGCCATATTTCTTAAGTATTTATCATGCTCAATGTTTTATTAACTTAAAAATGTTTCTTGAGTTTCCTTTGCTGCCTGCTGGGTCATTTCACCATGAACAGACCTGCACAAACCTGGGGAAGTTTAACCCAGGCTTTGAAGGTGTTTTCTTGCAAACCAGATCTGCTTCTGTGAGGAAGAACAGAAATACAAACAAGGTTGAATCTTTTGTTTGCTTTGTTTTTCTCTTGACCAGAATGTATGGAACAAATTGTAGTAGACAATAAAGTTTTCTCCCCTAACAGGTACAAATTAATCATTAAAATGCCAGAGGTGTTTGGGTTTTTTAAATTGCATTTTGATATTTTTTAGGCTAAATATAGGTCAGAAAATAAGATTTGCCCCATGGTACCTCTGTTTTTATTTCATTTTTAAAGGATTGCATTTGGATAAGAAACCTTTTTTAGTTTTTATAGACTTATTCTTTTTTAAGATTATTAAAAAAATATTCTTGCAATTAAAAAAAACCAAAACACCCTTTTAGTCTTTATTTGAATTTAATTATCCCAGTAAGAAAATCTTTAATTTTAACATTTCCTTTTATGGATGGAAGTCTGCTTCTGTAAATTAGAAGTATGTCTTGTGAAGTAAATTTAAAACACCATCAGTATACAGAAAGAGGCACAAAATGAGGAGTTCAGACGCTTCTCCTACATTCTCTGATTTTTTTTTGTTACTCATTTTCTCCTTACAAGATTGAAAATGGGAATAATATAATTTAATATTTCTCCAGCACAGTCATTTAATTTTGTTAGGCAGCTCAGTTATGTCTAAATACTGAACAGAAAGTGGGAGGAAGTCTCCCGTGCTGACGAGACATAAAAATATTTAGTGAAAGCATTCAAAATAAAAAAAAAAAACAAACCAAAAACAAACCACCAAACAAACAAACAAACAAAAACTTTAAAGAAAAGTTGAACTCCAAGAAAAGTTGAACTTGAATTTTTGGAAGGAGCTAATAATGGGAACTCAACTAGAAAGGAGCTGGGTTTGTGAAGGAAGTCTTGGCTGACCTGCTCCCTCTCAGCCCATGGAATCTGGCTTGCTGTGCCTTTTTGTCCATTCAGTTTCCTTCTGGCCCTAAACATGGCTCTCTCTTTACCCATCTGCCTGCATTTAGGCCTTAAAATCCCTGCAAGATACCCCCAACAGCAATATTTGCAATATTTAATACAAATAAATCTTAATGCAAAATGGTTATGCTGTCTCTGGACAGCTTGCTTCTTATGATGATTTAATTTTCTCAGTGTCCAGATAACTTTTGTCCCTAAATCATGGCTGAGTAAAAGCCATGAGGTTTAACCCTCTGCATTGTTTTTCTCCTGGGACTCACCCATCCTATCTACAGTGGAACACATGATACAGCAATTTTTAAAATTGTACATAAGGAAACTGCCTAAGCTGCCACAGAAGTAATTCCTTTTCTATCTCAGTTAAAAAAAAAAAAAAGTAATAAAAGTGCACTCCTGTTCAAGCTGAAGTCTTAGCCAGTAAATTTGGACTAAACCCAAAATCACTATGATAGTTTTTCTCCGCCTTTGTGGCAGTATAAGAAGGATTAATGCACTGTATGGGCATACTGGATGATAATAAAATAGAATAATTAAAATCACTTCAACACATGGTAGATAAACCTTTGAAAATAAGTAAAAATTCAGTCTTAAGTATGAGAATAATTGGAAAGCATGAGTATGAGTAACTTTTCCTAAGAAAAGCTACTTTTAAAATGCTCATTATCAGGGTGTAACAGAAGCAAGCCTTGCATTGCTGGAGATAATTTGCACAGAGGGACGAAAAATTGAAAGGTGGAGAAGTCTGCAGAAGGTCAGGGGAGAGGGGGGAAGATGATCCATCTATCATTTCTGCCACCATGCATCTCCCTTTTTTTGAGAGAATAGTGTGACCCTAGAACAATGAGAACAAAATTGCTCTGCTCTGCTATTTCCAGTGCCTCAGCATCACCAGGGAAGTCTTTCTGATCACAAGCTGTTGTGTTTTAGAAGTGTTCATTGTCACAGGAAACACAACTCTTCTGCTTAGTACAGGACACTGAATGTTTCTATTTCTGGCAAAGAGCAAATTGCTAAAAAAAAAGAAAAAAAAAGAAAAAGAGATTATATTAAATGCACAAATAAATTACAAAATAAAAAAATAATATTATATATGCGGGATCATCTCTTTAGCTGGTTTGTTACCCATCACATCAGACTATAAGTCCTCTGTCATATTTTAAATAGCTGTAGCAGCCTCTAACAGCAAAGAACCCACAGGCTTTGGAGTGTGGAGCCAGCAGGATGCCAGAGCACTGGAGAAATCCTGTGTCACCTCAGCCTGGAGGTGACAGACTCTCAACCTGGAGTGTCAGCAAGAAGCAGTGCTCTGGTGCCAGTAGAGATGTGGATAAAGGACAAGTGTGGGTTTGTGTTTCTCTGAAGAGCAGTAAAGAAATTAAAGCACAATTCCTTCTTAGATTTTTTTTTGTACAGAAAATCTCAGAAACTGAGCATCATCTTTTTTTTTTTTTTGGGTAGGGAAAATTGGTATACACAACACACAGTATGTTAGAAGTCATAAATAACATAACTGCTGATCATAATTAATATTAGAAGACACAAACAGACTTAAGAACTTGCATTAATCTGCTTTTCTAAGTGCTGGAAATTGTTCTGTGCTTAATTAAGGGGTAGGATAATCTTGTGTTTATGGCTATGCTGGAGCTGGGTATGTGTTTAAGTTCCTATTCTGCCACATGCTTCCTTTATGATGTTACTCAGAGCACTTTTATGTCTATATTTTTGTATTTGAAAATTGGACATAACAGATCCTTTCCTCACAAGAGCAAATATTGTGTCCTACGTTAATTTTATAGTGAATATTTATGGAGTAAAGCAATTTTATTTCCACTGTATGTGGATCTGGGGAGACAAGGATTTTTGAATATTGGCAAATATTAAAAAAGAAATAAAATTGGAAAGAAGGAATAAAAGAATCGTAAAATCTCAGCAAACATTTGAAGGAGAAGCTTGTTCAGAAAACTGATGAAATAGATCACAGCAAGGAAGGTAAGAAAAGGCCAAATTGTTTAACTTTTTTCAAAAGGAGACTTTGTCTTGTCTTGATGTCTAAGAATTTTCTGATTGCTCTTTAATTTGTGAGAAGTCTAAGGAGTTACAGTGAGTGGAAGCCAAACCCAGACTGATTCAGAGTGGAAGCAGAGGGACTGTTTTAAAAGGCCATCAGGGAAATAATTTCTGACAGATTAGAATTCCTATCAGCTGTAATCTTTTAGTGAAGGCTAAACAATGTTCTGAGAGAGATTTTATAGCTCAGCAGAACTGACAGACTTGATGCAAAAATTATTGGTCTGGGTGGTGAGGAAGGTCAGCGTGGACTGTCCCAACAGTTCTTTCTGGCCCTGCAACCCATAAATCTCAGAATTAATGTTTGTGAGTGAGGCTGATCCCATAATGATGGGGCCATGGACACGTGTGAGTTATGGGACTTTCCTCAGGGTCTGGGCAAAGGGGTGGCTGAGAGGGAGCTCCCAGAAAGCTCTCCAGCAACAGCTCATTGCTGCATTTCCACAAGTTAATTCTGTGAAGGGCATCTTATGTTCTGTAATGACAAGTTCTTGTGCATGACTGTGAATCCATCTGCTTTGTTCTCTGGGTTAGCAGATGAGGAAAATTGGATTTGTTGGTACAGGGGGTTATGTCTTAAATGAGTGGCACAAAAATAGGTCACAAAACTGAGAACTAAGCTTGCTGTTTATTTATTTCTTTTTCCTTTAATCACCCCAGATCCTGTATTTGAAAAGAATGGACTACATAGCTTGCCTGCTCACAGATTTGGTCACATTTGGTAATAATTGCAAAGAAAAGGAAAAATGGTTGTCAGCACTCAGGGTCCTGGATGGAGACATGGCAGAATAATCCCTTCCCTGTGTCCAGGAGCTGAGCTGCTGCAGAATTCATCAGGAATATGGAAAATCTGGCAATTCTTCGCTCCTGGAAGAATTTCAGGGAATTCCAGCTTCTA